GTTATTATTATTATTATTATTATTATCCCTCTCTTGTTTTTTGGAGGTACTATTTTAATTAACAAAGATACTTTTAACCACACCAGTTTATTTTAATATAATTTATTTCAAGAGTGTGACTTTGCACTTGCACTGGATAGACATACATTAAACCTTCCAGAAGACAAACCCCTTCCGGGCATGATAGAACCAGTCCCGCATGTCATTCTAGCAGATGCTGCTTTCCCACTGCAACGACATATTTTAAAACCGTATCCCTTTAAACATATGACAAGAGAACAGCGTATTTTCAATTACAGACTAAGTCGTGCTAGAAGAGTAGTTGAAAATGCATTTGGCATACTTGCCAATAGGTTTCGTATTTTATTAACACCAATTAATGTGTGCAGAGACAAAGTGGTGTTAATAACACAGGCCTGTTGTGCTCTACACAATTTCATAAAAAAGAAACTCCACATGTAATACTAAATCAAACCGATAAGGAGGATAATGGCCATTTAAAACACGGACCTTGGAGAAGCACCTGGCATCTTTCAAGTATTAATTTACGGCGTGGACTTCGCCCAAATAATAATAACTTGAGAATTCGTGAGGAATTCAAAACATATTTCAACACTCATGGACAAGTAGATTGGAAAAATGATATGATTTAATAATTTATTATTCAAGAATAGGTATTAGTTCTATAAAACTACCATAAATATTTTCTAATATATTTGTAAACACACTTAAATATTAGTTGCACTTATAAATACGGATGTTTAGAATAAAATTTCTAATAAAAACTTTAGAAAATATGGAAGGTCCTGTTTAATAACATGAACCTATATTTAAGCATCTTCAGCATCTCTAATAATGGAGAGGATTTCCCATTTGCAGCGTTTAAACAGGGGTTCATTCTTCTTTTTAATAAGAAGCAGCTTATTACCAACAAAATCACAGAAACTTCTTATTTCTGCTGGATAAGAATCCTCTTCATTCACAATATTTGCAACTAGTGTAGTCAAGTTGTCGGAATTTTGTCCAAACTTCTGAAAAAATTATATACAAATGTTTTTTAGCGGGAAAGTACTTAAAATATGGTCTTAAATGACATACTAAAAGTCCCGTAGATTCTGGTAATGGCAAGTTGCAAAAAAATGGCCGCCATTTTGATTTTTTCAAATTAATGCCTGTATCTCAAAAACTATTAAGTTTACGGATAAATTTCAAAAGAAATTTATTTTTTTAAATGAAAAAATACATCGACTAATATAGTTTTGACTCTCTCAACTTATATTCAAATGCACAAAAAATATTATTAACAGTTATTAATAAAAAAAAAATCTGATTGTAGTATTTAGTTAATTACTTTAATGTCATAGCCTCGAATAAAACTTCTTTTTATTAGTATGTTTTTCTGACATTTAGGTACCGATATCAGAACTGGCAACGCCGCGTCAGCTGACTAGACCTTGCGAGTTGCGACATGAAGCATTTTGATTTATTGTCGTTTTTCACGCGCTCGATACGTTTGTTTTCGGCTTGGTTTTCGTGTGAATAATAAAATTATTGTTTTTGTTTGGAACTTGCGACGCTTAATATTTCTATTTTAACCTGTTTGCAGACTCTTTAGAGGTATGGCTGATGAACTTATTTGTATGATTTGCGATAAAAGTGGCCAAGATGTAGTGAAAGTTACCAAGAAAGGAATTGAAACAATAATAAGGGCTAGTAAGGAACGTAACGATAGTTTGTGGCAAAATTTAACAAATGTGTGCAGCGTTTTTGTACACAAAGAATGTAGAAATAAATATACGCACCCTACCAATTTATTAAAACTAAAAAGTAACGCCCCAAGTACATCTAAGTTACTGAGATCGATCAGTAAAGGTTTTGATTTTAAGAAGCATTGTTTTTTATGCGACGAATACATTGATATACAAGCCATTAAGAAATATAAGAAAAATGTTGAGTTTCGCCAGGTCTGCACTTTAGAATTTAAAAATAAGATAATTAACCGCTGCAATGAAAGAAATGACAAGTGGGGGCTGGAAATATTTAATAAAATAAATAATCAAATAGACCTGGTTGCAGCAGAAGCAATTTATCATGTGAATTGCTTTAATAAATTTATGCAAGATAAATCTCAGGATCATGTAGGCCGACCGGTAAATCCTCCTCTAGAAGAGGCTTTTGAAAAAATTTGTAATTTTATTGAAAACGATTCCGAGAATTGTCAGTTTGCAATTAAAGAGTTAATTGAAATGATGATTACCCTTTTACCAGAGAGTTTTCAGCCATGGTCTGAAAAAAACTTGAAAATGAGATTGAAGAAAAAGTATAAAGATAGTATAATAATATCTTCTCTATCAGGAAAACAAAGTATCGTCAGTTTTAGAGGAAACTGTGAAAAACTTTTAAGCGAAGAGTGGTCAAAGGATAAAACCTTTGATCGTGCAAAAATTGTAACTGCCGCAGCTAAAATTTTAAGAGAGGATATTAGAGGTATGACATGCAATTTGCAGAATTATCCAAACTTAGATGATATTAAAACTGGAGGAACAGAGGAATTTCCTGATTCTCTTAAATCTTTTTTTCACGAGTTGGTTCTCAAAGATAAGAAAAACTTAGCTGCATACACAACAAAGGTAGCTGCGTTGGAAAATTTTATCATTTCTTTAGTTAGAGTAAGATCCTTCGTATCACCCACAATGTTTGGCCTCGGAACACTTCTACATAGGAAATATGGCTCAAAAAATTTGATAGATATTTTGTCGACTATCGGCGTTTCCATTTCTTATTCAGAGTGTCTTAATTTTGAAAGTTCAGCAATTCAAAATGTTCAGGAAAATATCCCAGCGGACAGTTTTTTGCAGTTCGTTTTTGATAACGCCGACGTCAACACCAGAACAATCGATGGACATGGGACTTTTCACTCTATGGGCGGTATCATATGCATTACTCCTGAACCAGCAACAGAAAATTTTCAGGTTCCAAGACCTAAGCAAAAAATCCAAGCCAGCGAAATTGGACACTTCGGAAGTTTACCAATACAGGTTAGTTTTTGATTTATTAAATATATATTTTTTTGCTTTCCCCTGTATAAATAGGGAAAGAAGCATTGTTATGGTTAAAAATAAAGAGAAATAGATTTTTTTTAACTTCTTGCATCTCTTTCAGTTTTACAATAAACCCGCAAAGTCTGGTCTCAAAACAGTCACAATGCCGGAAATACAATTTTTGAAACCTGAAGTTGAAAAAATTGCAGCAAGATTAGATGCACTTTGGTTACTTGGTACTAAATATCTCCATAAAAAAGTATCATGGAGTGGATATATGTCTTCTGTCTCATATGATATAGAATTTACGACTAGCACTATAACACCTCTGCCCTTCATAAACTTGGACCCTTCACACTTAAGTACTATACACACAGCACTATTGTTTGCAGCTGAAAAATGCCGCTCGTATAATAAACCTTGTATTGTCACCTTTGATCAACCGCTTTTTTTAAAAGCTGTGGACATCGTAGAAGCATCCAACTCAAGTAGTATCTTGTCTAAAGTTATAGTTCGACTCGGCGGCTTCCATACTCTTATGTCATTTATGGGAAGCATTGGGAATATAATGTCCGGTAGTGGAATCGAAGAACTTTGGCAAAGGATATATGCAAAGAATACTGTTCCACACATGATTTCGGGTCACGCATATGCACGAGCTCTAAGATGCCATTTTCTTACACAGGAAGCTCTTGGCTTACTGCTACTCTCTGACATAGTTCTAACTGATGAGAATATTGAGGAAATTTGTATTTTATATAATCGGCCTTTAGCAAATGAAGTCGAAATTAATCAGTTGATCGAGAACATGTTGGAAAAAATTGATCTTAAAATTAGTGAGCTCTCTCAAAGCAGTCGAACCGCACGGTTATGGTGTAATTATTTTAAATTGGTCAATATTATTAAGTTGTTTGTTAGAGCAGAAAGATCAGGCAACTGGTCTCTTCATACTCACTGTTTAAAACTGATGATCCCAATATTCTACGCAACAGGTCATAACAATTATGCTAAAAGTACTCACATTTATTTACAACAGATTCAGAAACTTCATAATATGAGTCCCGAAAATTATGAAAAATTTGATTCTGAGGGAATGTTTACTGTGAGAAGAACCAATAACTTCTGGTCCGGTACTTGGACCGATATGGTCATCGAGCAGAATTTAATGAGGTCAATCAAAACCACTGGAGGCTTAACCCATGGACGTGGGTTCACTAATTCTTCTTTGGCCAGATGGATAGCAGGTATGTCAGTTTGTATGCCTGTATCAACAGCTATGGAAGATTTTCTGGGATGTAAGTCAGTCTCTTCTGAACAACATATAGAGTTAAGTCGTTCACGCCAACAACGGGATGAAACTGACTTGCGAAAAATTTTAGATTGGCTAGAGGAATACAACCCTTTTAAATGCAAGGAGTTCACATCACTGTTCTCTGGACGTATAGCTAAACACGATATAAACTGCGATTTGGCGGATGAAATTGGAAGAAAATTACTCACCAACAATGTAGGCAAATTATTCACAGATATTAAGTGCAAGCGAACAGATCGGATTAAGAACTTTTCACAAATGAGTAGTAGCATTAAAATTAATAGCAACTACGTGAACGTGTCTCCTATGCAATTATTTAATAGAATTATTTGCTCAAACAAAACTCCAGAAGAAATAAAAGACTGTTTTAGGTTCGAATTATCTCCATATCCGCTATCACTGTTTAAAGATGGTGTCTTAAGAAAAGGAACAAAAAGCCTTCTCTTCAAAGAGTTTGATGCTCTAACTACACCTACTTCGGGCACAGAGCAAAATGCAATGCATATAATTGATGGCGGTTTTCTCTTACATAAAGTTTTATGGCAGAAGCCTGCCACGTTTAACCAAATTTGCGACCAATATGTTAATTATGTTAAACATGTTTATGGTCAGGACTGTGTAATTGTTTTTGATGGATACAATTCAGATAATTTTTCAACAAAGGATGCTTTGCAACAGATCAGATCACAACATGCTTTAGAAATATCAGTAAAGTTGGAGAATACAATTGTTACACCACAAGAAGAATTTTTACGAAATAATAATAACAAACAGAAACTGATAGAGCTTTTAAAGTTTAGATTTGAAAAAACAGTCTTAAAGGTAAAAGTGGCTGAAAGTGACGCAGACTATTTAATCGTTAGAACTGCAGTAGAACTTTCAAGTTCTGGTAGACCAATCGTAGTTGTATCTGAGGATACAGATATTGCCGTTCTGTTGATTCATCATTCAGAATATGATAAAATGTTTTTACTTCGGCCAGGAAAAGCTGCTAAAGCTGATAAAGCAACGAACATATCGGAGCTTCAAGAAAAACTAGGGCATGTTAAACAGCACATATTGTTTCTTCATGCTGTATCAGGTTGTGATACGACCTCGTTTATATTCAAAAAAAGCAAAAAACTCTGTTTACAGTGGTTAAAGAAAGACATTTCTTTATGCGAAAGACTTCAAATATTTTATCAACAAAATTCGGATAAGAATCAGTTAATAGAAGCAGGTGTACAATTCATTACAAAGTTATATAGGCCCAAGAAAAGCAAAGAAGATATTGACACGTTAAGATATACTTTGTATAATAGAATAACATCTCGTCAAGGTCTGTCTGCAAACTTTAATTTGGCAGCGCTTCCCCCAACCAAAGATGCTGCTGTACAACATGTTTTGAGAGTCTATTATCAGGTATGTTCTCTAATTCATTACTTAGCCGAAATAATAAAATTTTATTAACTTTTTAGGTACAAGAGTGGATAGGATGCAAGTTGAATCCATTAGCCTATGGTTGGCAACGAGATAGAGAGGGGCATCTGGTTCCTACATCCGCAACAAAAGAAATTGCTCCTCCTGACATATTGAAAATGGTTTTCTGCAACTGCAAAGAAGCGTCATGTGGCAAATCATGCTCCTGCAAAAAACTAGGGTTAAGATGTTCCTCCAAGTGTGGCCAATGCTTAGGAATTGATTGCTGCAATTCCTGCATCATACCTGAAAATGACGAGGACGAAAATGATGTTTTCATATGAATAATTTTGTTAAATTTGAAATAGATCCTTTTGATATATCACATCAAGTGTATTTTTGCATTTTACAAAAAAGTTTTCTCTTGACTTTTCATCATAAACCTCATAATTTTTGAGATATTTGCAATAAAATGACAAAAACAAAATGGCGGCCGATTTTCGCAACTTGCCATAGTCCTTTTTGATGGGACTTTTACTATGTTGTTTAAGAAGTTATTCCTGGTACGTTTCCATTAAAAAATGCTTGTATATAATTTTTTCAACCTTGACGTCTAACTTTCCTACACTAAACTGCATCGGCTACGATTGTTGTTATAGAATCTTTTTGGTGCTTTCGCTTCTTGCTGCGAGTTTTTGGAGTATCAGTTTTCACGTTGGATTTATTCGATGTAATGGTTGAGGTTGAAGCGCGTGACAGCGAACCATCCCTTTCAACATAGTACACCCCTCCAACACTTTCGTTGAACTGTAAGTTAAACATTACATAAAGTGTTCTTCTGCATATCGTGGTGTAGTATTATGATCAAATTCTTCATGCTCCGAATTTTCAGTTGTAGTATCTTCGGTCAATCCCATTTGTTGACTGTCAAGTACATCTTCCAAATTTGTTAAATTTGATTTGCTTGCATCTTTCTTGCAGTACGGCAGTAAGAATTGTAATTGGTCGTGGAGCCACCATGTTGGTGTAGGTACCTCGTCTTCTCCCATGCCACTATGTATCACTTTCATCTTGATAAATTACCCCGCTCTGAATCTTCGCTTCGCTGCTGCTACTACTGTACCTTCTGGTTTTTCTACTGGTGCTTGACTTTTTTTCTTTTCCTTTTGTTTTTTTCTCTTTTTCCTGTATTTCTGTCAAAAATTCTTCGGATGTTAACACTTTTGCACCCGCATCTATCTTCCTCCTTTGAATGCTTGTAGGAGCTGTTCGCTTAATTTTCGACAAGAGGAGGGTCTCAAAGGATGAAATATAATAAATGGAGGAAGCAAAACCCCGGCTGCCGACATGCAGGCCATGAGAGTGGTATTCTCTTTGTCTGATCCCTCAATGCTCCTGTAAACCTTCTGTCCCCTTCCTGCCACGCCCTTAATCCGAGATGGATCCGACGAAAAGCTAGTTTCATCCAGATTCCAGATGTGCGTTGACTAATCTCTTAACTTAAGAGTTTCAATTGTCTGTTCCAATTTTTCATAAAAACCATAAATGATGAAAGGATCGCTGGTTGCCTTACGCCAACATTGTTCCAGTTGCTCTAAGCCAGCGCGTGGCGTATCATGTGAACAGTACGTATCACCACCATGCCAACACGTTTGGCGTAGCTACGCCGAGCGTATGCTCGGGCGCGAAATTTCACGTTCGCTCTCACGCTGCTGCTCTACACCTTCATCTGAAACGTCACATTTAACTTAATGCCAACCAATTTCGCGGCGTACGACGTAGAGCGCGTTCTACGCCCCATCTGAAACGACACTAACGCGCCGTCAGCTTCTCAATGATGGCGTTGAAGAACAGCCGCGTGGTCTGGTATGTCACGCAGGATGCGGTCATGCCGCGGCTCGTAACAAAATTTGATTAGTATAGTCTCGTTCGTTGCTTAGTAATTTACTTACTACCATCTACTAATTTCAAGCCGAATTCTTTTTGTTGTTGTGTTTATAATTGATATCTGTCATATCATAAAGGCATTTGTGTTGTTTCACATTGACTATAAATACTTCAATATCCATTGTTTAATTCATACGCCGTTGCAGCTTGCAGACAGACTAAACACTTTCACTGCCTGTGTGTACCACTCTGGTATTTCGTTTCTGATTGGAGACCGCGCGCGACAGACCGCCAGAAACTCTTGGCGAGGCGATCTAAATTTGCCCGCGCGACAGATCGCGAGTGGACAAGCGGTCTGCTGCGTCCTGTGTCCGTTTTAGTGTAATGACATACTAGGCGGCATGCCGCTCGCGACAGCGACATGCCGCAAAATGGAGCGACAAATATTTTGCAGCGACCTGCATTGTTTAATGGCTAAAGGCATAGTATAGCGACTTGCAGTCGTCGCGACAGAAGTGTCGCGCCTTGTCGTCGGAAATGCGGCGCGACTGAATTGGGGGGGGGCACATAGAAACAGGTTTGTGATGACATACTGGACCGCGATTTGCCGCATTTGCGGCGCGACAGTTTAAGTTTAAACAACAAAAATGTCCGTTGTTGATAAATTATTTAGCCTTGTAGAAGGGCAACCCATCATTTGGGATAAATCGCGTCCCGAATATAAAGACAGAGTGGCCAACGAAAAGGCTTGGATTGAAGTGGCCCGAGGGATTCACGGAGATGAGTGGGAAGGGTACCCCGACAAAGAAAAACAACAAAAAAGTAAGTATTTTTTAAATTATTATTATTGAATATCCTCTCGCATTGTTTATAATATTTCTCTCGCAAAGTATTTTACATACCAAAATTTTCGTAGATAGCACATTTTGAACCTTCCTGATAGTTTAATTCCATAAATGTGCAAAAAATCATGTTTGAATTTATTGAAACGAATGCATATATTTATGTTCTTCAGTATATACAAAGCTTTTTTAAAAATTGTACTGCTGCTGGCACGGAATGCTACCCACTCCTTCGAAATGATCTGCAAAAAAATCTTGCACTTCTACTCCTTGACCACGAGGGGCAGCAACTGTGCGATTTACTTCAAGTAGCTCAAAAGATTCATTTTCGTGGTAGTTCACACCATCTCGTGTTCTTACATAATTATGCAATATGCAACAGGCTTTGATAATGTCGTCTACAAAGTCAGGCTCTACTAAAATAGGAGTGTGAAAAATGCGCCACTTATTGGTTAAAAGGCCAAACGCACATTCTACTGAGCGTCTGGCTCTGGAAAGCCTGTAATTGAAAATTCGGCGACGGGAATTAAGTGTTCGTTGAGGGAACGGTCTTAGCAAATTAGTGTGTAGCCTAAATGCTTCATCTCCCACGAAGACAAAGGGTTGGGGGTTGCTGTCTGTGCGAGGTAAACATTGGGGGCGAGGAATATCGAGGCTTTGTCCATACAATTTTTGTCCAAAAATACTGTCTCTAAATACAGTTGAATCGCCTTCTTGTCCATACGCACCCACATCAATGGAGATGAATCGAAGGTTGGCATCTGCAATTGCCATTAGAACGACCGAAAAATATTTTTTGTAATTAAAAAACTTGGATCCCGAATGTCGTGGTTTAATGCAGCGAACGTGCTTGCCATCAATCGCGCCCAAGCAGTTGGGAAAGTCGGTCTTTTCCATAAAAATGTCCGCAATTTGGTGCCATTCCTCGATTGTGGGTTCAGCCATTTCCTCTTTTTTCAAAATATTCCATATTGCATGGCAGGTCTCAACTACGATCGAAGCTATCGTACTTCTTCCTATATTGAACTCATACTGCAAAGCAGTAAAGGTGTTTCCTGTTGCAAGGTACCTATAAACAAAAGTACACCAAAAAGTATTAATGTACTAACATGATATTATATTTTACTTACCATATAATATATATACCGTTTTTGGACGTAAACATATTAAAAAATATAGATTTTTGTAAATTTTTTCATACATTTCAGTTGCTGCCCTTAAGGTCAAGTGGAAGAATGTGAAAGACAGCTTTCGAAGGGCATCAAAAACAAAAAGCGGGAATGCGGCTAATCGACAGAAAGACTATGTGCACTCTGAGGCTCTATCGTTTCTGCGTAATGTCCCACAAAAAAGGAAGTACGTATTTAATTTTCCCAACAAGACACATTTTTCTTCAATTGCAATATCTCAAATTTAACCATTGTAATGATTTTTTTTTAAATTTCAGAACGTGTAGTAATTTGTAGCCGGGAAACACATCCGGCGAGGAAGAACGTTCCCGCTCTCCAGTGAGTACGCCTTCACCGGCGATGAGGGACAGTGTAACCCCACCGCCACGTACTACGCCAACACCAACTACAACTAAAAAACAAATTCCAAAACTTACCCCATTTCAAGCCTCCCTTTTAGAAACCCTAAACACAGCATCCAGTTTGATCCAAAAGCCCCAAAACCCCGAAACCGATGATCCTGACCGCCTGTATCTGTTATCCCTACTACCCGATTACAAAAATTTGCCGACACATTTGAAATGGGCGTTTAGGCAGCATGTGGTGAATTTCTTCACAAACACATACACCTCTCCGCATCCCTTCCCCAATTTCCCGTCAATTCTGCTTCTCCATCCACTAGCTCCAGCCAACCGTCGCCATACTACCCTCCTTATACTTCTCCTCCTGATCAACCATGGAATTAATTTTTTTTTCATAAAGTTGCACCATCTTGCATTCATTACATTTTTGTTAGGTAGTTAGTTTAGTGTGCCCTTAATGTAGTATTCAGTTTTTATAATATTAAATTACTTATGTAAATGTTAATTATTTATCCATTGTTTATAGTTACCTGATAGCAACGGTCAGTCTTTTTTCTGCACCGATCGGAGATCTAAACGAAGTTTCCTTTTTAGTTATGTAGGGTCTTAATTTTCCGAGGAGTTCATCGAATGAGGCTACCGACATCCGATAGTAACTAAAAAACTTGTCACTATATTGTCTTATGTCTTTGAAAAAAGTGTCAAAGTTATCGGGACGTAAGCGGTGGTATGGGTGAACAGAATATTTCCTCACTCGCGTGTTCTGCAGTAGACCTTCTGCTTCGGCTGCACAAACAGCAACCACATTAAGGAAGTGTACGTTCTCCATACTGGGTGTGCCAACTGAAGGAGCAGGGTAAAATAACACCTTTTTCATGAGAATCGTGATTTGTCGTCTTTTTTGTCGTTCAAAACCGCTAAAAGTAGCTGTCGCGAGCGACATATCGCTGAAGTATGTCATCCGCTCGTTTTTGCGACATTGACGCTCGATGTCGCTGTCACGAGCGGCATGTCGCCTAGTATGTCATTACACTTAGGTCTTAAAGAAGGTATCATCGTTAGGTTGAATACTAACCGTAATAGGTTTATGATGAGTCATCATCA